AATTACTGAACATGAATTCACATTTGAAAATTATTCAGTCTCATGTGTGCCTAATACATATAACATAAGGAAGAGGCAGGTGTGTGTGTGTGTGTGTGTGTGAATGTGTGTGCGCTCATGAATATCTCTGTGTAAGAGTGTGAGTGAGTGTGGCATGGCTGTGTTTGTAATGCTGTGGCTACACTGACATAACTGTATTATAATAAAAGCACAGATATAAAATGAAAACTTCAAATTATCCAAAAGAATTCCATGGAGGAAAAGATTCTAGGAATTCTATAGTTTTAGACTGATCATGTTCTTGCCTTATTTTATTTCTCCATGATTATCTAATCTACTTCCTGGTAACTTAAGACCATGAGTGGGTAGATAGGGAAGGAAACAGAGTTGTATGAGCTTGAGGTGTCAACTTTTCTGCCCCATAACCACATTAATGATAGGCTAACCACAGCCATGTCACCTAAAATTCTTTGTCATCCATGTGGAAATCTGGCAATATAATGAATTTACTTCTTCTTTACCATATATTCATGGTAGAAAATAATATTTAGACAAGATAACAGCTACAAAAAGTCAATTATAACAATGTCACAACCATTTTACAGAGATTTAAAATCCCCCACTCCCACACTTTGAGATATAAAGACGTAGAATTCTGTCTGGAACATCATCACCTCTCAATAGATGCCAGCATTAGCATTATCATTATAATGGATTTGATCTACACTGCACTCAAGATAAATTGATGAATGTTCCTGCCAGAGAAAAGAAAAGTCTTTTTTACTGCATAAACCATCAACCCTTAGTCCAAACAAAAACATAAACACAGGCCTAGGACTGCTTTAAATTAAATCCCAAGTCTCTCAGAAGGATGATGTTCAGAAACAAGAGCTGCTTAGAGATAAAATGTAGAACAGCAGCCATGTCATGTGGCATTCCACAGTCTCAGAAGAGAAGCAAAGACATACAAAATAGGTAAAATCTACTTACAATGGCTTTAAAATTGATGACTATACCCTTAAGAGCAAAAGCCATTGTAGTTCCTCCTGTTGCATTCTTTGGCTTTGAAATTAACAGCAGTGAAGCTTTCGCAGGATGAAGAAAACGACTGGTGAATTTCAGAGTGATATTAATTTGGTTTCTATTTAATAAAAGATAAAAGAGGAAACATTTTATCAAAAAAGACAACCAACAAGCATATTTTCAGTGTAGACCCTGTGCCCAGTGCCTAAACCCTGACATGTACTCACTTCTACAATAAAAAGACTGTTGGAGTTCTCAAAAGGTCTAAAATCTAGTTTTTGTCATCAGATAAGACATCTTAGACCATAATAAATCTGAAGTTAACTTCCAAATATATAATCTCTCAATAAACAATTTTCTAACAATGAGCCATGTATATAGTCATGTATGTAGCATTTTTTATGAAATTCACAGGATATTCTGGGCTACTATTTAGGCAAATACTTAGTCATGTCATTGGCTTTTGATTACAGGGAGGAAAAAATATAAAAAAGTAAGAATTCTAGATATACAAAAAAAATGATGTTGGTATTTTAATGGGGATTACATTGAATCTGTAGATCACTTTGGGTAGTATAGACACTTTAACAATGTTGATTCTGCCAACCAATGAGCATGGTAGGGTTTTCCACCTATTTATGTCCTCTGCTATTTCCTTCTTCAGTATTTCATAGTTCTCCCTATAGAGGTCTTTCATCTCCTTAGTTAAAGAAAAGAACAGAGACATAAACCATTGGAACAGAACTGAGACCCCAGATATAAAACCATCCTCATAGAGCCATCTGATCTTTGACACAGCAGACAAAAATGTACACTGGGAAAAAGAATCCTTATTCAATAAATGGTGCTGGGAAAACTGAATAGCCACATATAGAAGACTGAAAGAGCAGCTCTTGCCTCTCACAAAAATCAACTCGCAGTGGATAACAGACTGAAAAGTAAGGCATGAAACTCTAAGAATTCTAGAAGAAAATATTGGGAAAACTCTTATAGACATTCGCCTAAGGAAAGAATTTATTAAGAAGACCCCAAAAGCGATCACGGCAACAACAAAAATAGACAAATATGACCCGATCAGATTAAAAAGCTTCTGCACAGCCAAGGAAACTATCACGAGAACAAACATACCACTACAGTATGAGAGAAAATATTCGCATGCTACACATCCACTAACGGGCTGATAACTAGAATCAGTACAGAACTCAGGAAAATCAGCAAGAAAAAAATCAATCAACCTCATTAAAAAGTGGGCAAAGGACATGAACAGAAACTTTTCAAAAGAAGACAGAGTAATGGCCAACAAACATATGAAAAAATGCTCAACATCTCTGATCAT